AGCAGGTAATGAAATTCTTCTTCTAATTTTGCCGTGGTAACAGCCATTGTTTAGAGGGGCGTGTGCATTTGTGTGTGTGTGCATGATAAAATATTTTTGAATCATTCACATAAATTCTGTGTAGGCAAAGGTGCTGGCCCCATTTTCATGAAAATATCTTCCTTATAATATGTGGTTTATTGGATTACCTTCCACTCCCCGCTTTGCTAAATCTATTTTTACTTTGAAACTTACGAGATTGAATTTTCTCTGAAGGAACAGCATTTGGAAATCTCTCAATTAAAGTAAAGGTTATCCACAGCATGCAAATATATTTTAGCCATTATATTATCTGCTCTTGTAACACTGGGATGTTTGTAAGTAGATTCTTTATAGAACAGTGATTCAAATTTAAACTCTATAAAATTCAGCTGATTCTATGCTATCAAAGCACTGGATTAGGGGAGAGCAATGCTAGAAATTGTAAATTTCATTTTTCCCCCTTAACCTGAAACCCTGATATTTTACTTTTACAACCTGGTTTATATCCTTCTCCCCTTTTTGGTAGGAAGAAGGACACCATTTGACATGGATGTTGCTGGTAGTTTATCAAATGAATTCTAAAGTCCTTGCAATGAAAAACAAAAAGCACATTGAGCTAAAGACTAAAAAGATGACGAGAAGTGTAATTAGTTTATCGTTTGCTCACTCAAGAAGAGACAACATTCTGAAATATTTTAAAACTTATTGTTTGACATCTGTCAGTAGTCGAATATTTTCCTGCTTAAGAATCTGGCTCTTTGAATGAAGGATGCAACAATGTCTCACTGTAGAGCACTGCTGAGACAGTGTAATAAATACCAATTAGCTGCTGAGTCCCTGTAAATTACCATATAAGCTCTGTTTCAAATACGGTTAAAAATACACAGACAAATGAAAAAAAGTGAGCAAATCCATCGTTCAGCTTTCTGTCATACATGTTATAAAAGAAATACTGTAGTTTGCACTGTAAAGATGAAGTCGTGACAAATGGCAGGAACAAGTGATACACACAGAGCACTCTATCATGTTTGATGTATTATTTTTGCATATAAAATATAGTACTATTTCATCATGAATTCTTGTTTTATGTATTTATTTTCTTTAAAAGCCCTTATTTGGTATATTTCTTTTATTGTTTCATTTGCTTTAATAATATTTATCAATGAAATTAATTGTGAATTAAATACACATTATCATAATGACATACATATATTTGAGTACTGTTAGAAAAAATTGTGATCATTTTATGAATTTCAGATTATGAGACTTTAAAATGATAAATGAATTTTAGAATTTTTAAGGAAGATCTTCACTTACATAAAATTACGGAAGTAGTTTGTCAGTTAAGGTTATTGACATTTCAGAAATCTTAATGTTGAATGTGGAAATAAAAAAAATAGAAAGAAATTGAGCTTGGCTCCTATAGCTCAGTGGTTACGGCGCTAGCCACATACATCGAGGGTGGCAGGTTCAAACCTGGCCCCCCCTGCTAAAACAACAATGACAACCACCACCACAACAAAGAAATATATAACCAGGCATGTGGTGGGCCCCTGTAGTCCCAGCTACTTGGGAGGCTGAGGCAAGAAAATCACTTAAGCCCAAGAGTTTGAGGTTGCTGTGAACTGTGATGCCACGGCACTCTTTCAAGGGTGACATAGTGAGCCTCTGTCTCAAAAAAGAAAAAGAAATTGGCTATGAAACATAAATACAAAAGTAGGCTCTTAGTCAATAACACATCCATGACATTATAAACACTGCATGCTTTTGATCACCATTGAATTGCAATCATGCAGCATAATATTTTGTGGAGACATTAAATATTTGTGGGGTAAATGAATGAATGAATAAGTTCTTTAAATATTTTTAAGAACCTAAAATCTTGTCTATGAAAAGTAATTATATGAATTAGTTTTCTATTACTGTTAAATCTTTTAGTCATCAATAATTATTTACCTCATCATGTTGGTCTGCTATTATGAGCAAATATTTTCCACATTAAAATGATATTTTATTGGCCATGATTCAATAAATGTCCTCTAACTACCATGTTTCCCCGAAAATAAGACCTACCCAAAAAATAAGCCCTAGCAGGATTTCTATGCATTTGTTAAATATAAGCCCTACTCCGATAATAAGACCTAGTGATGGGCATGGCCGTGTAGCATATCTGCATAGCCACGCCGCGTATTTTGGCATGAAGATTAAGACACTTCCTGAAAAAAAGCCCTAGTGTGTCTTCTTGAGAAAAATAAATATAAGACAGTGTCTTATTTTTGGGAAAACATGGTAGTTAATTGTGTTCCATTTATAACTTGTTCTCTTTGCATTTTTATGATTACATTTTAAGCTTCTTAAAAGTTAACCATAAGAATGAATCAAGGCAAAAAAAAAAAAATTATCCCAACCCCAATTCAGAATATTCTACTCAATAACATAATAGTGAAATAATTGAAATGCTCTTTGCAATGCTTAGAACTTTTGGAAAAAAATACCCTTACTTAAATAATGTAGATGCCAAATCTGTATTTTTTTCACATGCTTTATTCCTGTCATCTGGAAAGTCTGCTCTTCAGAGCCAACAAGCTGCTGACCAGGATTATATGAAAAATATATAGAACACTGTGAAATAAAAACAGAAGAGTTAAGAATATATCCTTGGGGATATAAAGAAAAGCATCATTAATCATATCTAAGAAAATGAAGGCTTTGAAAGGAGGTTGTGCATTAATTATCTTAAAATAGATAAAAATTATTAATAATATAAAATTATCACTATCCAAAATGTCTAATAATAGAGAATGGAATATTATGAAGCCATTAACAGTAATATTTTTCAAAAGTTTTAATGATATGAGAAAACATGTATGATATGATATTGGATATAAAGATATAAAAATTATATGTATAGTAATATCCAATTATTTAAACTATACAACCAATAATGAAAACTAAAGTAAAATTCTGAGTAGTGCATTATAAAAC